AGAGCCAGGCACGAGGGAGACGTGGCCACACTGAGCAGACATGTCACCAAATTCTAGGGATAAGGACCTTCCTTTACTGCATCTCGTTTGCCAGCCCCCTTGGGAACCGAGTAAAGATGTGCAGGTGTTTGCATGGTCCAGAGAGCAGTGTCTCTCGTGTGTCCCTGTAGGGTGGCCTGTAGAAGCCAGGGTGGGGGGCAGACATGGGGTGTGTGCCTGAATGTCGGGGCAGGTGCAGTGGGAACAAATCTTCCAGCGAGGCCCGGTGGGTCCGTGGAATCCTGACTGGTCTTCCCCTCCTCCTGACAGTCAAGAAGAAATACTCTGCTGGCCTCAGACTGAGCAACCTGATGAGCCTGGGCAGGAAGAAGTCCACCTCACTGGAGCCCACTGGGCAGGCCCTGGAGACGTCCAGTAAGTGCAGCAGGCTGATGAGGTCAGGCGACCAGGCACGAGGGGGCCTTGGTCTTGCTTTTAGCTTCTCCAGGGGCCCCCTGGGCCAGTGTCTCCTCACGGCCCATGGCTGTGTGCCTTATTAGGCTCTCCTGCCATGCCTGGGCTTGGGGGAAGTAAAGGCTAATGGACTGATGTTCTACGGGCCTTTGAAACAGCTCTGTGCCTCTGAGCAGTACTGCTGGGGGGCTGGCTGGCAGTGCCAGCCACCAGGGGGAAGAGGACCAGGCAGATGGAGGGCACAGCCTTGGAAGTCAGGGTCGGGGCAATGCCTTTATGCCCTGTGTACAGCCTGTGCCATCCTGCTGGCTATAAACTCAGCACAGAGGCCCCCTTCCTGCTCTGTGGGCAGAGGAGGCTCGGTGGGAAGGGTGGTTTGATGGGCAGGCTGGGATGGTACATTGGGAGGGAGGCGCTGAGGTTCTGAGATGGGAACCCACACTAAGGTCACGTGGCAAGTTTCCAGGGTGTACATGGGTGCTGGCATCTGGAGTCCATACCAAGAGGTCATCCCTGCTGCCCTCCTGTTACACTTCAGGAAACTGAGGCCAGGAGAGAAGGCCTTTGCCAGAAAATGCCCTGGAGTTAGTGGCTGGACCCAGGTCCTGGGCCTCAGAGCTGCCACTCCCGAGGGCCTAGAAGCCATTCCAGTCTGATCTCGGGTCTCCCCCTCCTGCTCATGAAGTGCATTTAGCCCATGTCTCTGCTCCTTCCGGAGTCCCTGGGTCAGATGAGCAGCAGCAGACTGGAGGTGTCTCTGGCCCGACGCTGCCCGCCCAGGGGGGTCCTGGAAGCACCAGCATCTCTCAGCTGCTCCCTGACTGTCTTCCCACCTTGCAGGGTGACATGATGTGGGTGACGCTGCCCAGCATGCAGGGAGGGGGCCCTCGGAAGGGGCTCGGGATACAGACCTGGGCCCTGGAGGGGATCAGGCAGAAGATATGCGGTGGAGAAAGAAGCCCCTATGCCCTCACTGGGGGTGGGGGTGTGTACACACGGGGACAGGAACTAAGTGTGCTAAAAGAGGCAGGACAGGGAGGTGCCTGAGCAACAGAGGCTGGGACAGCAGGCGACAGAGAGGAAAGAGTCTTGGGGGGTGGGGGGTCCATAGCAAGGAGCCTGGGGTGGGGCTGAGCTGCTGTCGGGAGCATGAGGCCTAGAGTTGGGGATCCCTGCCCCATACACCCTCTGGATCCTCTCTAATTGGAGACCCCCTCACTTCTTTGGACCTCCTTGCCCTCAAGCCAGCCCCCCAGCCCCCCGGGGTGCTGGCCTGAACATCCTGGGCTGCTGAGCCCTCCTGCAGCTGCCTGCTCCCCCACCCTGCCCCCAGGTTACCTGAACGTCCTGGTCAACAGGCAGCGGAGACCACGCTGGTGTTCCATCAAGGACAGCCACCTGCACTTCTACCAAGACCGGAACAGGAGCAAGGCTGCCCAGCAGCCCATCTGCCTGCTGGGCTGCGAGGTGGTCCCAGACCCCAGCCCGGACCACCTCTATTCTTTCCGCATCCTCCACAATGGGGAGGAGCTGGTCAAGCTGGAGGTACGGTGGGCCGGAGGGACCCTAGGGGCGGAGGCTCACGGCTGTCCCCAGAAGGCTGGGGGACGACAGTCCAGGGAGGGTCACAGCATGCTGCAGATTTTATCCTATCCGGCCCGGACGGTTTGCAGGCCCCCTGGGGTGCCCTGCTCTTGTTTTAGATGATGTGCGATGAGCTCTTTCTGCCCCTGGGACTGGAGGGGTGCTGGTGGGTCTGAGGACCTTGCTTGGCTTGTACCTCCCCAGAGGCCTCCGTGCCCTGCAGATAAGACTCGGGCGGTTGGGAGTCTTTTAGAGCTTAGATGATGTGACATTTTCGGCCGCCTTGCACAGCGAACGGTGCTGGGATGGGATGGAGCCTCGAGTGAGCTCCAAACGTAAACTCGCTGCCACTGAGTAGATGCCAAGCCATAGCGAGCCTATAGGACGGGGTAGAACTGCCCCCACCCCCCTGGTGAATTTCCAAAACAGTACCTCTCGACAGGAGTAGCGAGGCTTGTCTTTCTCCCATGAAGTGGCGTGGTGGTTTCAAACTGCTGGCCTTTGCGGATCGAAGCTCAATTCATAACCACTAAACCACCAGGGCTATCTTATGCAAGCTACACACACACACAACCACACACGTTTCCGTGCCAGTTTACTTTGGCCAGGGGTCTGCATCCACGTTATGCTCCAGGGCTGCCCTCTGGTGGCTGAGAGAGTGGCCTCACAATGGCTTCAGGCCCTGGGCTAGCTTGCGTCCATCCGTCTTCACCGGCTACTTAAATATGATGCTGCGTTGAGTGAGACAAATCCATCCCAGCCCTCTACGAGAACTTATGTTCTCGTGCGTGCGAGGGTGAGATGTCTTCACCAATTTCCCAGTCACATCCTGAATAGGGATGCGGCGGCGGTGGGAGAGAGTGGAGGGTGCGGTGAACCTGCGTGGGAAGCCCGCACCCTGTGGAAAGGGCGAGGTTTGCACTCCATCCTACGTGCTGGCAGCAGCATGCCCCACGGGAGGGCAGCAGGCTCTGGTTCCCATCTTGAGAAGCTTCCTCCAGCTGGACAGATGGGTGGCAACAAACGGACCCCCAGGCCTAGCTAGGAAATCATGCAGATTACCCCACCCAGACATGTGGTGGTTAAAAGTAGGGGTGCCACAGACAGCTGTATTGACAGGTCGGGAAAAGAGGCCGGTACAGTCAAGCCCGTTACCTCTGGGCGGAGCAGGGTCTTCTCTTGACAGTAGCCCAGCCTTCTCTCCCAGACAAGGCTGGTCTTTTAGAAGTTCCCGGTGCACTTGTTTGGCTTCAGTTGTTCCTTTTTGGGAGGGGTGGGGAGCGGGAGACTTCGTTCTGAACGTCAGCGCTGGATCACCTGGTCTGATATGGAAGACATCATGACGTTCTCGAAACTGTGAAAACTAAAGTTCATTTGAATTTCGTTTCTTCGCAGGGACCCAGGCCAGGCAGTTTTCTAGAAACAGGCACCCCCGTGGCGTGGTGGGAGTTATGCCCTGGGCTGCTAGGCACAGGGGCCACAGTTCAAAAACGCCAGCCGTTCTGCCGGAGAAAGATGAGGCTTTCTACTCCCATTGAGATTTACGCACAGGGGCCCTCCTCCTCTGTCCGACAGGGTCTCTGTGAAGCGGCACGGTTGAGATACGGGCTAGAGTCCAGTGTCACAGGCGGGGTCAAGATGCCCCTGGTGGTGGGAAGTGGGAATGGAGCCAGTGGGGTGGGGTGGGAGTGGGAGAAGCTGGGCCCTCTCAGCTGACCCATCCCACTCGTGGGCTCTGCCACAGGCCAAGTCTTCTGAGGAAATGGGCCACTGGCTGGGCCTCCTGCTCTCAGAGTCGGGCTCCAAGACTGACCCCGAAGACTTCACCTATGACTACGTGGATGCTGACCGGGTCTCCTGCATCGTGACGGCTGCCAAAAACTCTCTGTTGTGAGTGTGGGGGCCCACACCTGCCTTCCGCCGGCTTGCACACTCTCCTCGGTCACAGCCCGTGTCCCCAAGGCGAGGAGTGGCCCTCAGCGTGGCCCAGCTGGCCCCCTCCTCCCTCTCACCGGTCTCCACTTTCCCATCGGTCCCTCACTGTCCCAGTGCACCCTCAGAGTGGGTGGTGGGCATGCTTGCTCTCCCAGGGGGCAGTGCTTGCTCCTGGTGAGGGAGACGGAAGCTGGCCAAGCCGCCAAAGGGGAGCTGTTTTCTCGGGGGGGGGGGCATGGCGCCCAGCTGCTGTGAGACCAGAGGGGGTGGTGGTGGTAGAGGGAGGAGAGTTGGGCAGAGGAGGCTACCTAAGAGATGGGGCGAGAGTTTTTAATTTCTGGAAGAGAAACCGGGCCCCCAGAGGTCTATGAAGAAGTGGGGGGCTGTTCTCCCAGTAAATGAACTGGCTTGAAGGTGGAGGGAGGGTCGGGTTCCAAGCTGGCCTCTCCTGACTGCGTGCTGGGTCCTGCAGCCTGATGCAGAGGAAGTTCTCGGAGCCCAACGCGTACATCGACGGGCTGCCCCAGCCGGGCCAACAGGAGGAGCTCTATGACGATGTGGTCTCGTCCAAGCTGACGGCAGCGGTAAGGCCGCTGCCCGCCCTGCGGCCCTGTCCTCCAACCTGCCTCCACCCCAGTCACCCTCACGGTCCCTAAGCGGGGTGGGTGCTGAGCTTACCTTCCGGCCCCTCTGTGCAGGCCCACTCCTGCCTAGTTTGGGGATTTGTGTAGCTAGCACTGCTTTGGGGGTGGGGGAGTGGGGCGGCAAGATGGCACTGGTGACATCGTTAGACTTTGCAGCCAATCTGTCCTTGTCCTGTCAGCCTCTGTCACCGAAAGGGCCCTCTGCTGCGGTCCAGGGTTGACCTCGTTCCCTGGAGCCCCACTTCATTGGGCGGTGCTGCTCTTGACAGGGTCTAGCAAGCCTGAGTCTCCTATCTAACTCCAGCCCAGCAGGAGTGGCCCCTCTGCAGCCCTGATTGCCAAGGGAAGGCCCGTCTCACACTCATGCCCCCCTCCACCTTCCCACAGGTGAACCCCCTCGAGGAGGGCAGCTCCACCGGAGTGGATGGTCCAGGTACCAGTGAGTCTGACCGAGTCTACCTGGACCTCACGCCCATCAAGTCGTTCCTCCACAGCCCCACTGGCGGCCAAGTCCAGGCCGTGCCCCAACTGGACAACCTGGCCAAGGCCCTTCCTGCGGACCCAGGGCCGGTCCCAGACGAGCTCCCAGAGATGGCTGCAGAGCCGCGTGAGGAGCAGGTACAGGCTGTCCCCTGGGTGCAGGCTGGGCCCCCTTCCAGCCCTCTGGCCGGCCAGCTGAGTGTCCCCTCTGTCCCCATGATGCAGAGGCAGCAGGAGAGCCCGGAGCCTGAGGAGCCTTGCCCGAGGGGCACCACCGTCAAGATCCAGATGGAACAGCAGATCTCCTTCCCCGACACGGTGGCCCTGCCCCCCGCCGGGGCCAGCCCCCCAGGGAAGGACAGGCTGCGGGGGGCTAGTGCAGGTGCCTGTCCTCTATAAAGGCCAAGGGACACTTGCCCAAGGCCGCTCAGCAAAGGTGGGGCCCAGCTTCCCTCTCTGGCCCCGGGAGCAGTAGTTGCAGTTTCTGGTCCATCGGAAAGGCAGGCGCAGAGACAGGAAATGGGGAGGGCAGAGCCCTTGAGGGGTGCCCCCAGCTGACCTGGTGACCCTCTCTCCCACCCTGCATCTACAGAAATCAAACTGGGCAAGACCAGGACGGAGGCGGAAGTGAGGCGGTACACAGAGGAAAAGGAGAGGCTGGAGAAGAGGAAGGAGGAAATCCGGGGACACCTGGCTCAGCTGCGGAGAGAGAGAAGGGAGCTGAAAGAGACGCTGTCCAAGTGTACAGGTGAGCAGCCGCCCCACCTGAGGCTCAGCTCCGTGGCATCTTGTACGGAGACCTCCTCGACCCAACGGAACAGCAACAGGATGAGGACCTTATTTTTTAAAAGTTTTTAAAAGACCCAAAACATACATTTGCCTTAAGTTAAAACACATCAGTTCCAACTCACAGAGACCCAACAGGACCGAGTAGACCTTCCCCTGTGGGTTTCTGAGACTGTAACTCTTTGTGGGAGTAGAAAGCCTCCTCTTCCTCCTGCAGAGAGGCCGGTGGGTTTGAACTGCTGACCTTGTGGTGAGCAGCCCACCTGAGAACCTCCATGCCACCAAGGGTCCTTTCATTGACCCATCAGCTCCTGGGTCAGCTGAGAGGAGTCCTGGGTTCTCTCTGTTGCATACTCCACATTCATTGCCAGTCTTTACGGCTTTTGACGCTTGTATAGCGATCTGAATCCTTCTGGATTCCTCTCTAGGGCCTCCTCCTCCCACATCTCGCTCTAGTACACCTTTCCCCAGAATTCAAGTGGGCTTTTCGAGAGTAGCGTTTCCTACTTGGGTAATAACGTCAATTGCAGAGTTACAACCCTAAGTGCACCAGGCGAAAAGAGGGGGGTCCAGACCTTGCTCTTACATGAACGTTACTAGGATCTGACTCACCTACCCTTCGAATGACGCACCTGAAGTCTACAACACATTCCGCGGCTGTGAAGTGGCTCAACGTTCAACACCCATCACCGCCAAGGACTTTAGAACCAGTTTGTCAGCCCAGGAAGAAAGTCCATGGGCGATTCTCCTATCCCTAGGCAACCACTCACCTCCTGTCTGTGCCCACGGGTGGTGAGCGAAGGAGCCCCGGCAGCAGTGGGTCAGGAGTTCAAATCTACCAGCCGCTCCACTTTCACAAAGACTTACAACCTTGAACACCCCTTTGGCCCAATTCTGTTGTAGGGGATCTCCAAGTCAGTTGACAGGATGGTGGGGGTGGGGGCTGGTTTTCCAGGGTAGGTGGTCTGGGATGTTGCCCGTCATTGCACAGTAGGCATGAGGGCGTGGCCGCCGGGGAGGCTGATGAATCACATCCGAAGCTCTTCTCGGCTCACAAGCACCGAGCTGGGGCTCTAAGAAAGGTGGTCAGGGTCCCCAGCCCTTTCTTCCGACCTAGAAGCCCCTCCTAGGCAAGAGGATTTCCACTATAGTGTCGTCTCTCGACAAGTGAGCCCCCTTTCAGCATCTCTAAGATCTGACCGCTGACTGTGAACAGTGTTTTTATCTTTCCACATCACGTGGCCACCATCGCTTGACCCGCTCCAGGATGGTGGGTCCCTACCCACAGGCGCCCGGAAGGACTTGCTGTTTCTCACCTGTCCCTCTCCTGGCCACCTTTGTTTGTACAGACCTTGGGTCTGCTCTGGTTTTACCATGATGAGCAGGTGTGAAGGTAGACCGTCCGCCTGCAGCCTCTGCAGAGCACGAGCACACACAGCCCAGGGTTGGGGGCTGTCTCCTCCCTGCCTGAGCCTCTCCGTCCCTTCCACAGACAAAGCCGCCCTGGCCAGCCTGGAGCAGCAGCTGAGGGACATCGACGAGGAGTGCCGGGTGGAGGAGCGCAGGCGAGTGGACGTGGAGCTCACCATGGTGGAGGTGAAGGACAACCTCAAGAAGGCCGAGGCGGGGCCTGTGACTCTGGGCACTGCTGTGGACACCACGCACCTGGACAGCGGGAGCCCCCGAGTGAGTGTGGGGGCCACACAGTGGGGAGAGGGCGTGAGTCCCCCACCCCCACTTGAACTCAGCCCTTCCTCTCCTGTGACTATAGCCCAAAGCTGCCACCCTGACCCCCGTCCTCGACTGTACCCCCGTCAACGCGGCCACCGCGCTCAAGAACAGGCCTCTTTCTGTCATGGCTGCCGGCAAAGGCACGGTCCTCCAGAAAGCCAAGGTAAGCACACACTCAGGCGTTCGGGTGTCACCAAGGTGGGGGTGGGGGTGGAGTGCCACAGGGACAGTCAGCAGCCTTACCTTACCACCTGGTTCAAGTGACCTTCTCAACCCTGCCCCTTTGGTCACCTGGCTCCAGGGGCAGATTGTGGCGTTTAGCTTTCTATTCAGAAAGTCGGTGATTCTAAAGGACTCTGCCACTGTATCTCCAGAAACAAATTCCAACATTGACGTGATTTGTCAAGGGTTGCCCTGCCAGCCAAGAGCTGAGCCAGGAACCGTCCTATAATGGAACCCCTGCAGGCTATGTGGAGAGTGCTATTAATCCTTCACTTATTTGTACATTCAAGAACATGCCTGAAGCTGCCTGTGTTTTTGGCAAGCTCTGTGTCTTCTTTCCATCCTGCTGGAGGTGTGTGGAGGCACCCACACCGATTAACTCTGAAATCCTGGGTGGAACTGGGTGGCATATGAGCTGCAATGTCTCCGTCAATGCCGTGGCAGACATCACTAGTCGCTTAGAGCACACTGTGCCACAGCCTCGGAATCTCCTGATAGGTGCTCTGCACAGGGTCAAGTGGGCTTGGCAAAGGAATCAAAATGTATTTGCCATCTCTGTTCCTAGACGCTTCTATGCTTAAAATGTGTGTATATGTACAGGTATGCATCGCTTAACATCCGACCACATATATGTCTGTGGGCCAGGCACCCAGGTGTCTGAGTACCAGGACTCCAGACCCTCACCTAGTCTGCGGCAATGGAGACCCAGGCCCAAACTCCTAAACCCAGTCCCCCTCGGCTTGGCAAAGCCTAGAACCCGTGTTTTCCTTGGTGTGGTCCTGTAGGGTGCTGATGGAAAGGTATGTGCCCTGGCTCAGGTATCCTCAGCCTGCACCGTGCCCTCTCCAGGCAGGTTCTCACAGGTAAGCTGGCCTACCTGAGAGGGCGGTGGCAGCTGGGTGGGACCTGGCCAAGCGTAGCACAGAGGACCCTGGGCCAGGGACACAGGTGTTTACACAACAACACCCAAACCACGAAACACCCCATCTCACAGAACATGCTATGGATGTTAAGCGACCTATACCTATATACATACACATATGAGTGTGGCAGCCTTTAGATGCCTTCAAAATGTAAACCATGCACACACGGAGGAGTAACGTTCTTTCTCTTTGTGGGGCCGTGGGTATTTGCACGGAACGCTAGGAATGGGAGAAGAAAGGAGCCAGCTAGGAGACAAGCTTCATCTCTGGACTATTGCATCCACCCCGACCTCCGTGACAATCCTGCTTCCTGAAAGGCTTTGTTACAACAGCACCTCTCTGAAAGGGGCCTCTGTTCAGAAGAACATGAAACCAGGGTGCTATGTACAAGTGGAGAGCTTTGGCCAAGAAGAGACCCGGCCCCTTCTCAGCACCAGGGGCACTAACACAAGAACAATGACTTTGTGTCTATCTCTGAAGTCACAGAGCGACAGCTTCTGCAGGCCTGGTGGAAGAGAAGGTAGTGGGGGCCCTCGTGTCCACAGGCCAGGTGGCTCCATGGACAGAGAACACCTAGACCTCCGAGCCATCGTCTCGCCCCCAAATGTAGCCGCATTGAGGGATGGACTGTCTCCACTCTGCAGGCCCGCGGGGACCATCTACAACAGACTTCTTGAAAACCGGTAGCAGAAGAGAACTTTGAGATCCCTGTCCCAACTCTATCAGTAACTTTTTTGTGTGTGGGGGGGGTGGAATCCTAAGACAGGTCTCAATCGATTACTTTTAGATATTAAGTGATGCTGTATGATATAGAAAAGTGGAACTTAGAGTGAAAAACTTGGCTGGAGATTTACCTTTTTATATTGTCATAGAAAGCAAGTACCCTGTGTTTACAGATCCATGCCTGGTGGCCCGGCCGTTGGAAGGGAAGAGGTAACTTAATGTCACACTCTTAATCCTTGGTGTGCTTGGCGAGGTTGTGTGTTTAACACGAGTTGAAACATTTTATCTGTCGCCTCTGCCTCGCGTCTGGGAAAGTTCTCTGAGAAAGAAAGGTCATTTGGAGTATCACTGTCTTTCTAATCCCAGGACATTTCTTTCGTCAGATTTTTATAAATAAAATTTCACTTGTCGTTCGGATTTTCCTGTTATTTCATGGAATCTTGACAGACACAAGAAAACCAAGCTCACTGCCAACTCGGAGCAATCCTATCGGATAGGGTAGAAGTGCCCATGTGGGTTTCCCAGATTAACTCTTTACAGGCAGTGAAAGAAAGCCTGGACTTTGTCCCCCAGAGCAGCTGGTCGGGTTTGAGCCTCTGACCTTGGGGTTAGCTTTAAGTCATTCAAAGACAACACCTTCAGGGAGTCAACATGTACGAGCCATTGAAAATCAGAGCTCATGGGAGTTAGACACCTCATCCACATACGTGGAAGCATTTATTTTGACAAACTCCAAAAACGGGCTTCACTGGATGCAATAAAAAGGCAACAGCAGTATTTAAATAGCGGCAGCAAAAAGACTTGGCTGTAGACACTGACAAGATGATTTTCAGGTACAACATACTATGAATACAGCAGTTTAAGGAATTACGGGACTTCCATTTTTATAAAGCCAGCATGGCTCTAACACACCAAAGCTGATAAACAGGAGCCAGATGTTATTTTGGGACAGAGATTTTAAAAACCACAAAAAACCTCAGCAGTCTACTCAACAATGCACACACTGCCAAAATGAGTTACCCAAGGTTTGCCCAGGTGGTTCAGCACTCGGAAACATGGTCATGGAAGACAAGATAATGAGACATCAAAAGTTTCATTTTTCTACAACCTCTCTGATGGGGCAGGCACCCCCTCATCATCTAGGAAGAGAAGGCAGTATCCTGACCCCGTGAAATCATCTACAGAAAACAGCATCAAGCAGCAGGTGGACCCCTGCTATCACCACGCTTTCAAAAACCACCTTCTGGAGGTCCTCAAACCCACCCCCAGCACGAGTTGAGAAGGAGAAAGGCATAGAAAACGTCGGAAGGGGCAGACAAAACTCCCTTGGTTTCTAAATGCTCCTGTTTAAAGCAGGACAATATGCATGCTCACACCTGACGTCACTCACGGTAACGGGTGTGAAAGCAGTAGCTTCCATACGCCCTCCACTGTGATGAGGATGCTGCTGGAGCCTGACCAGTCTTTTACAAAGACCATTAAGCCTAGAGATCCATGACATTTTCAAGTCCAAGCACTTCCAATGGGGCAGCCACTGAGCACACAGTGCAAAATCGTGCTAAGCCCCTACACAATGCCAATACGAGAGGCCATGTATTTAGAGCTCAGGAGTTCCCCGTGTTCCTGCATCACCTGCAAAACCAAACTCTCTGCCATCAAGTCAGTTCTGACTCATGCCCTGCAGGGAAGAACCACCCACGTAGGTTTCCCGGACTAACTCTTTCTGGGAGCAAAAGCCTCCCCTTTCTCCCGTGAAGCACCTGATGGCTTCAAACTGCTCTACTCCCAGCGAACAGCCTAACCAGTAAGCTCTACCCCACCAGGGCTCCCTATCTGTCTGCAAAAGACAGGGTCCTAAGAGGAATGAAAAGCCCTTGAACGCAGCTGCTTACAGGGACTCAGCACCTTGGACTCTAGCCCGGCCCCCCAACCTCTCCTATAACTCCAGGCAATACTGCTCCGAGCATCTTTCCTGCAGAGGCGACCCTGGAGGTTCTCAAAGCGAAGTGGCATTTCAATTAACATCATTTGAGCTTTTGTAGATAAGATTATACATCTAATCAAAGCTAGGATTAAGCCTCTGCCTCTACATCAGAGCACCGTGCAAGGTTTCCGCTGAGAAGGCAAACCACCACCAGGTGGGAAGGGAAGAACCCAGCCCTCGATCCTGCGGAGGTGACCTGCGAGGAAACAGTCCCGGATGGGCCTCTTTGCTGTATGAGGGCACCCATGCCAGTGAAACCCCAACAGCGTCTCTGAAGGCGTTCTCCAACCTACGCAGCACCTCATCCAGAAGCCCAGACAGCTTAAGGAAGCAAAACCCCAGCAGGTTTCTTGGTCTTATTTTTCCTTTGTTGCATTTAAGAATTCTAACTCCACCTGGCTCCAGAGACCAGAAATCATTCCACAAATGCACTGCAGTTAACCTTTCCTAAATAAAGAACACCCTTCAAGAGACCGTCAGATTCCCCATGGATTTTCCATGTCCCTCCTCACCCCAGGCCATTTGCACCCTAAGCCCTTTCCCCCCACCCCCAATCAAACACTAACAGGCCCGCGTCCAGCCTGGGGTCTCTGTCTTCTACACACAGGCAGAAGAGCACCAACTCTCGCCAATGCCAAAAGGCCCCTTTTCAACTACAAGGAAATGTCCTTTTTTTTCTCTTTCACAACTACTCCACTTTATCTCCTAAAATGCCAGTGCCTCCGTGGCCCCAGCATGCAACTGGCCCTAGAACTCCAGAACACGTGTGCAGACAACATGTGCCCCAAGGAGGCCGCCTCCTTTTCGCAGGGGTCTCTGAGATCTTTGGCTTCTCCTCAGGAGGTAGGTTTCAGCCCACACCCTGAGCTGGAAGCAGCCCAAACGAGGTACAGAAAATAAATATTTTACATACAGAGAGAGGGTCACAGGCGTCCTTGGTGGGTGACACCGGCTGTCCCTAAGAAGCACGGCCCGTGGTTGGGGCGCCATTTCTTCCTGGAGGAGCCATGGCACGAGGGTCTTGGATGGAGCAGGAGTGGACGGAGAGGCCCCGAGATGGAATGCTCCCTCGAGGATTGGCGGTGGTTCAGTGCTCCGGGCGCAGCTGCTGCCTTCCAATGGGTCCCTGGTGGGAGCCCCAGGTCCTGGGAGAATCTCCTCGTAGAAGCCCTTGGGAAAGAAGGAAACTTGGAGGACACCCAGGCTGCGTGCTTTCCCCAGCCAGTGAGCAGTCCCTGCCCGGGTGGCCCAGTGGGTTAAGTGCTTGACTGCTAACCACAAGGCGGGCACTTCGAGTCCCCTAGCTGCTCCGTGGGAGAAAGATGAGGCAGCCTACTTCTGTAAAGATTTACCACCTTGGAAACCCTAGAGGGCAGTTCCACTGCCCTAAAAGGTCACTGTGAGTCGGAATCAGCAATGGGTTTGGTGGTTGATTCTTGAGGGGAGGACGGTCAGTTCAACCAGGTCCGTGACCGGTTCACATATACGTCGCCATCAGACGGAATGGACTTGGTGACAAAATTTGGGTGGGGGGTGGTTTCCGAATCTCACCCCCTAACCCCTCCACGACCTAGAGAAACTCCTGCATCACAGACACCAGACTCAAGGTCTACCCTCAGCAAGCTCGCCTCTGCCCAACGCTCCACCTGGGGTCATCCTCTGGTTGCTGGCAAACTCTTGGTTTCCCCAGGCGCCAAGACCCGGTCCTTAGATCCAGGGCTGACGCTGCTTCCCCTCCTCCACACTTTGTCTGCAAAGCTGACCCCAGCCATGTGTCAACAACCCACTCAGCCCCTCTCACCGGGGAAGCTTCAACTCCTTTCTGGCCTGTGCTCTGGACTGTGTTCCCCACATGGTGACCCAAGAAGGGCCAGTCAGACCTGCCGCTCCTATACTGCGGCCCTTTCAGGGGCCTCGCTGGGCTCCGTGCAGTAGAACCTGCCTGCTGGCTTGACTCACATCACCATCTGCCTTGTCTCCCTTGGGCTACCTGCTCTTCTCTCCACTTCCAATACTCTTCTCCTCCAGTACCCTGGCTCACCCCCACCTGCCTGCACCCCCCCCACTCCTGTTCAACCTCACCACCCGCTCACCCCACGTCACCCTCCATCCCTAGCCACCTTATCTCAAACTAGCCCCACCCACATGTCCCTGTGCCTGCTGGTCCCCTGGATTCTCAGGAGCCCCCAGGGCACCATGTAATCCTCACAGCTGACTTCCCTGCGTCTTGTCTGCTGCCCCTGCCAGGTGAGGTCTGAGAGGGCAGGTCTGCTGACTGGGCATTGCTGCTCCCCAGCACCTGGAGTCAGGCCCGGGGCGAAACCGACACTCCATAGACCCCGCCTTCCACTGAAGCAACTGCCCAAGAACCTGCCTCAGCTTGGCAGGACTCAAGCTTCCACTTGCAGCTCACACACACACACAGCAGGGACCCCACTTACGGTTCCCGCAGTGGGGGCCCTCCCAGCCATCGCGGCATGCGCAGCGGTAGCTGCCGCTCTGCAGGACGCAGGCACCCTCATTCATGCACGGGTTGGGCTTGCAGAGGTTGACTGGCCGCTTGGCTTCTGCAACAGAGAACATGCCTGCCAGGTCTGGCCTGGCCCAGCCCCCAAGAGCCCTGGCTCTGCCCAAGTCCAGACCAGACGCACGGCTATTGGAGTAGGTGGCCTGCACACCTGGGCCCATAAGCAACAACCCGACTGGGGCTGCATCTCACTAGCTGGGGCTGACCCAACTCCTTCCTCGATTCCTTCCCTACATGCATTTGGAGCCATCTCCTGCATGCGCAGTAGGCGGCGGAGCGCATGACTGTTACTGTCATCCAGGGCTTCCTAAAAGGTGGGGAGGCGGCCTTGGGAGTCAGGTGGGCCTGGCTACATTCCCGCCTCACCTGCCACTAGCTCCCTGGAATCTGTGAGGGCGCTAAGAGGAGCAAGTGAGTTCTCAAGTTTGGGGAGGAGACAGTGTTACCTAAATGCTCTGCACCTTCAGCATTCCATGCAGATGGTGATGCCTACTGCAGAGGGCTGGGGGAACGTGGGGCTGAACAGGGGACCTGGGCCTGTGGAAAGTTCCCCAGAGGCATGAGCAACTGCTCTCTCCTTCTGAGGAGGGAGGTGGCCTCCCAGGGTGCGGATCCCCCACTCACCTCCACACAGCCAGCCGATGAGCGCATCCTGGTGGTGCCTGAGGTCCCCATAAGCTGCCACGTGGATCAGGGCGTCCCGGGGTCCGGCCAGCCTCCTCAAGGCCTCCCTCAGGACGGGTCCCACGCCCACGACCAACACGGAGATGCCGTTGTTCCTCAGCTTCTGGGCAGGGACGGCCGCGTCCTCTGCTCCCCGCCCACCGGTGACCACCACCACGGCCTTAGGGACCCCGGGCCGGGCGCCCCTCTGGATGGTCATCACCGTGTCGTGGATATACAGCAAGGCCACGCCAGCTGAGCCCGTCCCACCCAGGTAGGGGGCCTGACTCATGGCCCGCAGCACAGCAACCTGAGTGGGATGGATGTCCAGGCCGAAGGCCGTCTGGACCTGGCTCCCATACACCACCAGGCCCACCTGTGTCACGTCGGGGTTCACGTCAAAGTGCAGGACACAGCTTCTCACGAAGCTCTGCATCTGAGCGAAGTTCTCAGGCCCGACAGAGGCTGAGGCATCCAGCATGAAGACCAGGTCCAGTGACTGGGTCTGGCAGCCTGTGAGCACACAGAGCGGGCCTCCGTGGGCAGGGCACGAGGGGTAGAGTGGGGCTGCACTAGAGTCCAGATCTGTCTGGAGCACTCATCCTCTCCGCATCTCCCCTTAGTCATAGAACCCACTCTCTTGGAATGCTAGCTCTTCCCGTGAATGCCCCGCTTTCCCAGGCTCCCTTGTAGCTAGCTGCAGCCATGGGCCTAAGTTATCCAAGGGGAGTGATTAGAAGTATCCACAGCATCCACGCTATGGCTTCCCAATGGAGGCTGGGGTACCTCAAAAAGTGACACTTGGAATCAGCACAAGACCCGGCGATTCCACTCTTAACCTTACCTCCGTGTCTAAAGAACCGAAACCGATCAGCATGTCAAGCTGGTACTTACACACCCATGTTCACAGCGGTGTGATTCACAAGTCAATCAATAATCAACACAGCAACCGCTAAGATCACCAGGGTGCAGACGCTGTACTAAATGTGTATGTGCTAATCTTACTCTTCACTAAGCACCCTGCAGCAGGTGCTTTGATCCACCCCGTTCATGAATGGCTCACATCATGTGACCAGTGCTTAAGTGACCCTGGGAGGAGAGGCCTAGGCCACCCAGACCTGGCTGTCGCCGAGCGGCCACCCCACTCCAAATCGTACCTGGGCGCTGCTGGCTGCACAGCTTCTGCTGGAGCGAGGGCATCTGGTCAAAGAGGTCCTGCGGGCCGGCGTAGGTCAGCACGTGCTGCGTGCTGCCCGTGATCACCTCCAGCTCCGCGCGCACTGCCGCGCTGCCCACACCCAGCAGCAGCAGCTCCCGCGCCTGGGCGAGGTGCGCCAGGCCAGCCACGTCGTCCTGGGCAGGCACGCTGGTGAGCAGGACCACGGCTCTGCGCGGTCGGTCCAGGCCCGTCCTGGCGGCGCTCCCGAAGCCACGCTCGGCCACCTGCCGCAGGGCACTGCCTGTCCGCGTGGGGCCCCCGCTGAAGGGGATGGCGTCGAGGATCCGCACCAGGGCCTGCACGTCCTGGTACTCGCCCACCGGCACGGCCACCTGCAGCTCCCCGCTGTAGTGGGCCATGCCCACACGGGCCTGTGAGTCCTCGTCCAGCGCTGCCTGCACAAACCGCCGCACGAAGGCCTTGGCTCGCAGGAAGCCTGCTAGCGTGGTTCCCGCTGAGCCATCCAGCAAGAAGAGGATGTCGATTCTGCATTCCAGGCTCAGCTTCGGGGCTGGCAGGCACAGAGACAGCCACTGTCACCTGTGGCCCTTGGCACATCGGAGGCACCCAGCCCCACGCAGGGCAGGGACACCTCCCACCCCACAAGAGGGCAGGGCAGAGAAAGGAAGGGTCCAGGAATGTGGGTGGCTCCACAGGTCTCTCCCAGGCCTCCCTCCCTTCTTTTTTACATTTATTTCCTATCTTAACCTTTTGTCTTTGTGGTTAGTGCTTTTCTTGTCTTTTTAAGAAACCTGTAGAATCATGCAGAGATTCTCCTACAGTGGCTCTCAGAAGCACGACTGCTCTGCCTTCAGACTTAGACTCTGTCTGGGATGAATATTTTTGCGAGTTGTAAGCTAGTTGCGATTGTTGGTTGGTGCTGTGGTGTCCACGTAGACTCACAGTGACCCACGTGCAGGAGTACGACTGTCCCATGGGGCCTGCCTGGCTACCATCTTTATAGGAGCAGAGCACCAAATTTTACTTCTCCAGAACCACTGGGTGGCTTTGAACTGCCAACCTTTCCATTGGCAGCCACATGCTTACCCGTTAGGATAGCCAGGCTCCTTGAAGAAAGGGGTGGAGATGTCTTTTTTCCCCCCTTGGATCTCTGAAAGGTATGCTCTCATAAGCCCCGACTGTGTGTTCAAGAACAGGAGCTGTCATGGTGTAGTGGGCAGCTAGTAAACTCAAGTGTAGTTGGGCTGCTCACAACAAGGTCGGCAGTTTGAACCCACCAGCTGCTCCCCAGGAGAAAGATGAGGTATCAGCTCCCATGCACAGTGACAGGCTCGAACCCACAGGGGCAATTCTACCCTGTCCTGGAGGGAGCTACACACTGGAACAGACTCAGTGGCTGTGAGCGAGTGAAGTGAGGTGTCAAAGAAGTGTGCTGCGTATTTTACACACATGACCCTATTTAAAGCAACCAGACACCCCCATGGAGTAAAAAAACCTATTGTCATCGTCAGACCTTAGCAGTAAAGGAGTTTGAGTTTTCTAGTTTCTCCTCCACAGAAGGAGAAAAGATTGCCCAGGACACCGGGTCCCAGAGATGCTCAGGCACCAGGCCAGCAGCCCCCTCCCTATCCTGTATCATTAACTCCTGGGACACTGAGAGGTTAGGCCACATGCAAGGTCAGATCAGTGGTGTATTTGGAAAGAACCTCAATACCCACTGGTGTTGAGTAGACCCCGGCCCATAGGAACCCTGTAGGGCAGAGTAGAACTGCTCTCTGGGGTTTCTCAGCATGTCAGACTATGGGAGCAGACTGTCTCCTCTTCCTTCCTCAGAGCAGCTGAGTGATCCTAACTGCTGATCTTGGGGTTAGCGGCTCCACGTGGAACCGCTACTCCAGCAGGGTCCCGTTGGAAAATGAGGCCATTCAAAAACTCAACAGCTGGTTTCTAGCCAGTAGCCAGAAGCATGGGAGGAGAGAGAGCATGAGGGTGGGGGTAGGGGTGCTCTACCCACTCCCCCATGGTCAGTCTCAGAAGCCATTCATACTCACCACAGTTGGCCTCTCCTCCGAAGGCCAGCGGGCAGACGCAGTGGTACTCGCTGAGACCGTCTGGAACACACGTGCCCCCGTTCTGGCAGGGCTCAAAGTCGCAAGGACCTACCGGACAGATGCACATGGTCTGCCCAGCATGTCAGCAGAGAGGCAGCCTGCCCTACAGCCCTTTCCTTCCCCAGCGGTCCCCCTTAGAAAATGCACCACCTGTAGCAGAGAGGGGGACTAGCTGACAGGGACATGAAAGATGGACGGGAACAGGTCAGCTAAAGGACACTGGAACTGTGTCCCCTGCAGAAGTCTGTATCCATGCACATAAACTAACGAGCTGCAATAGCTCTCCTCCATAAGGTGATTACTAATGTAACACATTCAGTCCATGAAGCTGTAACAGTGTAGCATGGGTCCTAAACCTAATCACTTCCAAGTTACAGAAAGAGCAGAATAGACAGACACACAGTCACAAAGGAGTGCAGACGCTGCTATCCAATGAAGGAGGCCAAGTCTACAAGCTCAGGCACTCTACAGATTGCTGGCTACTAGAAGCTGACAAGGAGCCCGAGCCCTGGTGTCACAGTGGTTAAAGCACTCTGCTGCTAACCAAAAGGGTGGGAGTTCAAACCCACTACCAGCCACTCTGAGCCAAAAAGCGGTGGCAGTCTGCTTCCATAAAGGGGACAGCCTTTGAAACCCTATGGGGCAGTTCCACTCTGTCCTAAACATTTCTACAGGGTCACTCTGGGTCGGGATTTTTGTAGAAGCGAAAATAGACAAATGCAGCCCATCTCCAAGAACCATGCTCTGAATTCTCATGCTGAGCCTCCTTGACGCTGAGAAGTACATTTCTGGTCCTTGAGTAGCTGTGAGAGCAGCATTAGGGAACTCACACAGATGTGCGGTGGTGGCTTGATGAGATCCACAGTCTGAAGTACAGAGCTCACCCAGGATGTGGCAATAACACCAGCTCACACTGGGAGCAAATGCCTGTAGTTACCCGAGGCTGCTGAGAAGGGTGCCCATGAGTCAGGAGCTGGTGTGGGGCCCAGAGGAAGTTCTTAGAAGCCTCTGGGCCTAGCCTGGGGGTCCCTAAGCCTCGAGGTCATTTCTTCACTAAGTCTGACACATGAATGTGCACCACAGCCTCAGCGGCTGGGCAGCAGAAGGGTAAGACGTCCGACCGCGGAGTCAGAGAGACAGGCCGCATCACGGGACCTCTCTGACCTTCTGTATCCTCGTCTGAAAACGGGCAATCATCGCTGAGCTTATTCCAGTCGGATGAGGCTCTCATGAATCCACCCCTGTAACATGCTCAGCACCAAGCCAAGCCCACATTCCGTCTCCCTTATCTCGTGCTGCCCCGAGAGAACCACCACAGTGGGTGGCTGCCGGGGACAGCCATGTGTTTCTCACAGATTAGGAATCTCCCCTCTCCCTCTGCCATGGGTCCACTTTGACTGAGACTCCTCCTCCTAGGGCGGAGGAGACCTGTCCCTACGGGTTGGTTTCCAAGAGTGTCAGTCTTTACAGAGCAGACAGCCATCTTTCTCCCATGGATCAGCTGAGAGGAGTCTAGATGGCTGAATTCCGGGTGCTGGCTCTAGCAGGGAAGTCCTGGTGGCATAGTGGTTATGAGTTGGGCTGTTAGCCATAAAGTCTGCAGTTCGAATCCACCAGCTGCTCCTCAGGAGAAAGATGGGGCTTTCTACTCTCATAGAGCTCCCGCCTTGGAAACTACAGGGGCAGTTCTACCCTGTCCTACACGGTTGCTATGAGTCAGCAGCAGCTCGATGGCAGTGAGCTCTACAGTGAGACCCTAGGAGTGGCCCTGCCTGCCAGCTCGGGGGGAAGGTCCTGTCTCTCTTCACCTGTGCACCCTGGGCTCCTTGGTAATGAACTGGCTTCACCCCCTCTTTTACAGAGAATTTGATCTAATACACCCCCTATACTAACACTGCCTTGTGACCATAGCAAAATCCACTCATTCCCACATGGGATTATAACCACAGGTAGTCACAACGCAGATTTGGGGGATGGGGTGGTGGTGGACACAAGTCAACCCACGCCACACTGCAATCAGAGGCAGTACCGTATTTCCTTTGGGAGGCAAGGTGCACCCTGTGGGGGCATGCCTACTCACAGCAGCTGTTTGACGCAGGAAACCACAGCCATTCTGACCTCGGCGCTCAAAGAAACCCCACAAGGCCTAACTGAGCCCTGAAAAACCACAACATATGAACCTGCAAAAGTACTGTTTGCGCCCCCTGCCGGGGGAGTGGCCGAGGGGGACTGGCTGCATCCTGCAGGCAGGCCAGGGATCAAGAGCTCCGCGATGGGCCCAGTGTGGTTATTACTGGGGCTGGAGGCATCTGACTTTTGGCTTAAAGACACTGATGTCTATTGTTGGTGTTGCATGGCCGAGGTTCAAGTGTGTGCCTTTCACAGGCAGTCAGGATTGAGGCTGGCTCTGGCCCTGGTCTGCTGCCCCGCAGATCCTCACCACTACTAGCAGCAGCAGCAGCAGCAGCAGCCAGGCCTTCACCCGGGAAGCTAGTGCATGCCAGGAGCTGTGCAGAGAGGGTCGTGTGCCTTCTGCATTGAGGACATAGACAAAGAGCTCCAATATTGGCCGTGGGGTCCCATAAAGGACTTGCTGGACACTGTCTCAGGGTGCTGTCACCCCAGCCACAAGAGGCAGGTCCCATACAGAGCCTTCTCTGCAGGGGAGGCAGCAGAAGATCGGCAAAGGCAGCAAGGAGCCGAAGAGCAGAGCCAGCCTCCAGGCAGCACCGCTCTGGCTCACAGGAGCCAGGACAGCCCGGCTTTCAGTTTCTAGGACATTTCAGAGCCCAGTGGTGTTGAAACTTTGGGAGGAGAGATACCACTGCCACTGCCACTGCCGCTGCCCCTGGGCTGGCTGACCCCAGGGTGGCACCGTCACCCTGGCTGCGTGGGAAGCTCCTGGCCCGTGGTGGCAGCAGCACACACACTCAGGATGGAGTCAACACTCTCTGACCAGTGGCTGTCCTCAGGTCAATGGGCAGCACTGAACCCTGGGCATGGAGCAGGGCAGGCGAGCCATTACCCAACAGTGTGGACAAGCCACGTTCGGAGCTGTCACCAGGTGTGAGACCTGTGATGACCTGGGATTCCAGACAGAGGGAAGCATCACACCCATTAAACAGAGGAGGGAACTGAGACTTGGGGTCTCGCCCTGAATGTTCAGCACAATGTGCTCACTGTTCAGTCCACAGCCCTCGCTGCCTATTCTCAATGCCAGGGGTGCAGGCTGGGGCATCTATCCCCAAGTCCACCTCCATGTTTAGTGAAGAATACTTTAAGCAAGCGAGGCTTGAGTATGGGTTGAGCACCCTCTGTTGCCTTGGAAATAGAATTCAGTGCCCTGCCCCTCTTTCCCAGTGCCCGTCTTGACCCTGCCACACACACCACCACCCCCGGCACCTCTACCCCAAGACTGTCACTGCCCCTTTGCAAAGCCCACCCCAAGCCCCAGAGAGGAAGAGATCCAAGAGGCCAATGGTACCTGGGCAGGTGGTCCTGTAGCAGGTGGCGGCATGGCTCAGGTACACTCTCCTCTTTCTGCAAAGGGAAGACTATGGTGGGGCTCACAGGCTCGAGGAGAGGCCAGGCCCAGGACACTGTCTAGGATCACCAGAAGCTCATGGAAGATGCCAGTGGGGAACCAGGTCAAGAGAAGTCCCTGCAGAGATGGAGCCTTTTGTGATTCTATCCCAACTTTTATCTGCACAGAGCTACCTGGGAGAGAAAGGGAAGCCAGCTTTGGCCCGCTGTCCTAATAGAAAGGAGGGCACAGGGGTTAGTGCTCAGCTGCTATCCGAGAGCTTGGGGGTGAGAACCCATGAGGTGCTCTGCACGAGACAAGACTTGGTGATCTGCTCTCACCGAGAGTTACAGCCTTGGAAGCCCCATGAGGTGGTCAGGTGGGATGTCAACTTGCACATGCGCACGGTGGAGTCAAACCTGTCAATCAGGGCACAGTCTGATGAGGCCTCCTGGGAGGTATAGCCTTTTTTTTTGAGAGAGAGCGAGCCACTTGGGACCCCTCCTCTCCCTCTCTCGCTGCTCTTTCACCTTCCGGTCTACTGGAACTGTGTCATGTGAGCCTCTGACCCTGGCAGCCAACCTGGGAGCTGTCAGAGCCCTGCCATGCTCCCAGCGCCCTTGGATCCACGTGACTCTGCACCGGCCTGACTGCAATCTCCCAGCTTCCCGCTCCACCCTTCTGTGCCAGCGGCCTTGGGCCGTGTGAGTCTAATGACCCACGGACTTGGATTAGACCGCGCTGGGATGCCTTCTTGACCTGAGATTGCTTCTTGACATAAAGTTCTTTCTTACACCTATATGAGGGTCAACCGACTTTGTCTCTCTAACAACCCAGCCTAACACACCTGACTCCATCCTCAAGGATCCTCTTGAGTTGGAATTGATTTGATGGCAACAGGCTTGGCATCATGGGAAACTCCCAAGCTGTGGGAGCAGCTTTCTATCACAAGCGATTCCTGGGGCTGGCATGGCGAGGTGTGGGGAGGCTCGCTGGGAAGCCAGCAACTGGACTCTGTCTGCGTGACTCCTGGCAGCATGTCCTTCTCAAGTCCTCGGGTCCCTCATCTAAGCCGTAAGTGGCTGTAGCCTTCAGCTGAGTTCCTGGGGCCTCTGGACTGATGGGGAGGGAACTGAGTGGCCGCTTCCTCATCCCAAATGCCTGACTTCTTTCTACCTGGTTTGCCCAGCAAGTGTTCCTGCCAAGCTCCACTGCTCAAAGGGATGTGCCAAGCACAGGCCTGTCTGAACACGGATGTTCTCTGGTGACAGCAGCCACTATGATGACAGATGACGCTGCCCATGGGTGGCCTCCGTGAAGCAGGCTGTCAGCCCCCGGTTATCTCAAATCCACAGCTACCTGCAGGGCTGGTGACCCCCATACAACTGGTAGGAAATCGTTTCTAAAGTCTGAAGTAGGCTGCTTAACCCACACGCTCCCAGAAGGCAGCAGAACTAGGATCCAGATGCCAACCACTTGACCCCCAAACCCATGTCCTCCTCCCTCAGGCCAGCCCCCATGGCAGGCCCTGCCACAGCAGGGCAGCAAGCCTGCCTCTCCGGGTGGGCAGCAGCTCCAGGGACAGCCTCGCCTAAGCCTGGCCTGCAGCCAGCAGCGCTCTCCCAAGAGGGCCTCGTCTGACAAAAGCCCACCGCAGAATGCTCCCCTGGGGCGGTGAGTGGGGCTCGCCTCCAAGGCAGGGGCTTCCTGGGGTAAGAAGAGCTCAAGGAATCGCTGGAACAGAGTCTGCCCCTGCCAGCTCATTAGGAGACGGCCTCCCCTCTCCCCCGAATCCCAATGAGCTCATAAAACCGCAAGTCCCAGAGAAAGCTGGTGGGGATGCACCCTGTCCCGCCCTGCCCAGAGCCTAGGACTGGAGTTCTGGGTGGCTGCTGTCCACAGATCTCCACTGGATCTGCACCCAACACGCTCCCTCACTCCCCAGGTGTGGGCTCAGCCACCAAATTCTCTGCAAGGCCTTCCCTGGCTTTTTAAGACCACACCCCAGCGACCCACCCCTGCACCCCCATGCCTGCATTCCTGCCCCCTGAACACTCACCACCCTCCAGGAGCTGCTCTGATACGTTCAGTTGTTTGTCGCCTGACTCCTCCTGTGATCCCGAGAGCAGATTAGGGTCACGGGTGTCTGTCTGCTCTGACGCTCCAGGCCCAGGGGCAGAGCTGGAGCCCACGAGGTCCCCCTCTCAGGGCTCCCGCCATGAGTGTCCAATATGCAAGGGTCTTTTTATAAAACTGCAGGATGAACACATCCCACCTCCTCACTCACTGAGTGTTCTGGGCACCCTGGCCCGGGGCTAACACTGAGTCGCTCTGAACCCCACTTTCTGCCTGGTCTCCCCCAGCCTCGTGTCACTCGCTCCTGTGACATGACCTGGAGCAGCTGCCCTCCACGGCCCAGGAGTGTGTGGTGGCACCAGGGGGCTTCTCGGGTGCCCAGCCTTGCAGACACACCTGTGAACGGGGCAGCGAGAGGCCAGCACGCCATTGGTCCGGGGCGACCCTCTCCAGCACAGGCCATTGCTGTCGCGCTCGCTGACTGTCTCCAGCGTCTTGTGCTCACAGGGGTAGGGTGCCATCCTGCAGTCTGTGCAGCCCACCACCGGAAGAAGATGGGGTCACACCTCCAGCCTCCAGCGGTTCCTGGTGCAGTCACTAATCCTCAGTGGGCACCCACCCAGGGTCTAAGCACCTGAGTTCCTTAAGACCCGTTTGCACCCACCTCTCGTGTGTGCTGTGTATGTCTTCTATTAACAGGTGGCACCCTCACTTCGGGGAGGGGTGCTGACTGAACCCTGAGAATGCAGGACCTTGCCCCGGGTCCTCCCCCTCCCCGATGGCCCTGCACTGAGACCAGGGGAGTGTCTTGGTACCTTCCCTCATCGAGCAGAAACAAGCACAGGGCCCCCCTGCTAGACTCCGGGTCCCACCGTCCCCATGGGCACATCCGCACAGGGCTCCCAAGGAGGAAGTCCCAAACCCCAACACTGGGCAGAGACACACACACAAAGACATGCCACCAGCTGCCACCATGGTCTCTCTACCCGGGCGCCTCCTGACTTCTTGCTTCTGTGCCCACTGCTCCCTCCCACACCCCACTCCCTGCCTGGAGGGCCTTACCTGGCGGTGCGACGGTGCAGATGGCGGCACTGCCCAGGGTGGTGAAGAGGCCGTTGGTGGCGTCCTCCACCTGCTCAGCGAACAGCACGTGCAGCTCCTGGGGCTCGCTGGCCAGCGCCTGCAGCTCCTCCCACCTGCCCCCAGCCCGCCCACTGAGAAGTTAGAAACCCAGAAGGCTCCTGACCACCCCTCCGTGCAGACCACCAGCTCCTGCCCTGCAAGTCCTCCCCCCACCCCCAACTCCCAGGCTCTTTCGCTAACATCAGTGTCCACTGGGGGCAAAGGCAAGGACCATATCAGGAGCCCCTGGAGGCTCTCAAGGCAGATGTGTGTGAAATGAAACATGGACCCCTCCCTCAGAGCCATACCACCCAGAGAGCCCCCAGTCCTTCCTTAAGCCCTGGTCCTGACACATTCACTCGTCTCTGGATGCGAATGGCATTCATCTGAAAGGACGGGAAAGAAAAATGCTAGCAAGCTGTCAGCCAACCATGGGCACTAGGGGAAACTTGCCATAGGAAGGAAGGATGGTGGCCTGGCTTTGGCAAAACAAAAAACAAAACAAAAAAAACGTAGGCACCATTCTTTTTCCTTTTTCTTTTAGTCGTTAATTTTTTTTAAATAGTATTACTGGCATAGAATTCCCGTCATATAATTCAGTAGTTCAGTCCTATTAAAAAGAGCTGTACATTGTCTTCTTTCTTCTGCTCGTTGTTGTTGTTGGCTCTCCCTTTCCCCCCAACCTCTCTCATCATGCCCCCCAGGATATTATCACTCCAGGCCCTGTCTCCATAGATTTGCCTATCCTGTTGTCCTACACAGAAAAACACACCAAAGCCAAAAGAACAGAGCAAACCAAGCCGACAGCAGGTAAAACCTCAACCAAAAAGAAAGCAGAAAACATAAAAATCTGGAACAAATTCAAAAGGAGACAAAATGGGCACGTGTGACATTCTAGCCTAACGACCTGGGCCATGATCGACTTTGCCAGGTGCCATGTCCAAACTGCTCACCTCCCTGGACTGTGGTCAGAGGGGATTCGCTGTAGGCTCTGCAAATGCGCTGTGAGCTTCCACTGCCGTCAGCAGCCTTCTGCAAACCAGGCGCTCAGAATTCAAGCTCCGATACCCATCCCCCCCCCTTCAGTGACCCACCATTCTTCTCTCACACTCTGCGCCCAACGACTCGGCTGCCCCACTGCTCCGCCCTGGCGCCACAGCCTAGACCCAACCTCTCCTCCGGCCCACGGCTGCTCCCCCGGCCGGTCTATTCACACAGCTGGCAGTGTGTGTGTGTGTCAAACAGGTTACGGCAATTCAGACAGTCCCCTGGCTCAGAACCCTCCAATGCCTCCCCACCTGATGACCATACACGCCATTGCCCACTGGGTCCCCAGCATCTGGCTCTTTCCCACCTCGGGCAGCACCCCAAGTCTACAAATTTCTGTTTCTGCCCAAGTGGATTTGAGATGACGTTCTGACATCTGCAGCCAAGGGTTCAGACCGCACCAGAGACAAGACGGCACAAGAAAACACGCACTCTCAAGACGGTCAGAGCCCTGGAGGCCCCAGGGAGCCCCTGACTCCAATGCCAAGTGTCCCCCCACCCCAGGGGCCTGGAGTGGGGCCCGTGCAGTCTTACCTGGGAAAGCCTATCCCCACAGCAAACACGGTGATGCCCCTCTCCTTCAGCTGCTTGGCTGGCACAGCAGCCTGCCCTTGGGACTTCCCATCAGTGACCACAATGAGGATCTGGGGCACAGAGACGTTCCGGCCCCCTGGGAACCCTTTGTGGAGAAGGTATTTCAACGCCAGGCCTGTCTCTGTGCTGCCTCCTCTGAGGTCACCAGGAGGGAGGGAGAGAGGGAAGGGGAGAAAGAAGTCGTCAGTGGTCAGAGGCGCCTCTGCAGTAGGTTAAATAAGGACACCCTTCCCATCCCCAAGACAAGTCCATTCCCCAATCTCTGGACTCAGAGTGACCTCACTTGGAAAGAGGGTCCTTGCAGCTGGAATTCACTGAAGGCTCCGGAGATCAGGAGGCCACCTGGCTGTCTGGGTGAGCCCCGAACACCAATGCCAAGTGTCCTCGTAAGAGATGTGGGAGATAATGATATGGGTACAAGGCAGAGGCTGGAGGGATGTGGCCACAAGCCCTGGGAGACTGGGCAGCCAACAGAAGCTGAGGAATTTTCCCCCATTTGGCCCTGGAGGGAGCATGGCCTCACTGGACTGTGAATTTCCAGCCCCCAGAACTCTGAGAGAAGAAGATGTTGTTCTAAGTCACCATGCCCGTGGTAATTTGCCATGGCAGCCGGAAGCGGTGGATAGCTGCCGGAATGGACGAGCTGAATGTCTGACCGTGCACCCGGCACAGCAGGTACTGTGAGTCCATCACCAACGATTCCGTCTCACGGTGACCCCGAGTGCGTCAGAGTTCAACTGCACCCCCAGCTCTCTGAAATCACCTGGCCTTTCTCTCAGGGAGCTTCTGGGGAACTTGCAGGTGTTAGTGTATCTGCACCACCCAGGGACCCCGTGCTAAATGTCCCTAAAATAGTGTCTTCATTAAATGTTCCATCAGTCAACGTCACCCTTCACACAACGTGGAAGCGCTGCTCGAGGTTCTAATAAATCCAGACACCCAGAGCCGCCATCACCGAGTTGATGCCAACTCTTCAGACCACAGGAGAAAGGACTGACAGCTGTTACTCATGCACAGGGCTCCTAACCTCGAGGCCGGTAGTTCAGAACCAGTCGTTCTATAGGAGAAAGGTGAGGCAGGCACGCTACTCCGGTAAAGACTTTAAAGTCTTGGAAACCCATAGGGGACCCTCCCACTCCGTCCTGCAGGGTCGTGATGAGTGTTTGCCTCGTGCCAGACAGGCTGTGGCCGAGTCTCACGCCGCTCTCACCGCCACGGGCCTCGAAGACCAGGGGTTCAGAGAAGGGGCTTATCGACAGTCACGCAACAATGTCATTCTGTATTGTGGAGTATTTATTTCTAATGACAAAAAAATGGAATTTTGTCTTGAAGCATGGTGTAGCACGGTGTTCACGCCAGGAACTCGTATGTGGGCGGATCTGCATGTGGGCCGACCCGTCTGGAGACGGGTAGAGGAACGGTGTCTTGGTTCCTAAGACCATCAGAAATATGTGTTTTCCAGTGGTCTTAGGCGACCCATACGTTGAGAACCGCTGTTTTAGAGGCACGACAAAACACATCAGGATCTCTCAAACTGAGGGATTCTTCAAGAACCGTGAGAACGGAATGGCAGGAGTGACAAGGCAGCTTTTCACAAGGGTACATATCCGTAGCATTGTGTGAACAGAGGGCTCCGTACGAGGGTAGACTGTCGTCAGGGGCCACTGGGTCCGTTCTGACTCACAGCAACCTGCGTACAGGAGAACGCCCGGTCCTGCACCCTCCTCTACAACTTCCGTTTGAGCTCACGCTCGCAGGCACTCGGTTAATCCGTCTTGTCCAGGGGCCTCTTTTTCACGTCCCATCTACTTTCCCAAGGGACTGCTCTCTCCTGCAAACAGGTCCAAAGGACGTGAAACAAAATCGCGCCATGCTGGCTTCTATGGCGCATTCTGGCTGTACTGCCAGGGCAGATTTGTTTTTCTGGCAGTCCACGGTCCTTCCAATATTCTTCACCAGCTCTGTAATTCAAATGCACTGGCTTTTCTGCAGACAGCCTCTAAACTCAATGTCCAATTTTCACATGCAACAGGGATGCATGAAAATAACATGGCTTGGGAAGGTACCTGCAGCTAGAAGCTGGAGTGGTTGCGAGTTGGGCTGCTAACCTCAAGGTCAGCAGATCGAAACCACCAGCAGATCTCCAGGAGAAAGATGAGGCTTTTAAGGAATGACAGTCTTTGAAATCCACAGGGGCAGTTCTACCCTGTCTTGTAGGGTCGCTTTGAGTCGGAATCAACTGGATGGGAGCTAAATGGTGGGAAAGAGGCCTGAGGCAGCTCTGACAGGCTCCGGGCAAAGGAGGAGTCTAAGTATGTGAGGTTTCAGGTCCCCAAACACAAAACACTCCCCTCCCCCGAAAAGTGCAGATGGGGTCCAAAGATACACATCACATGACACACAGGGTGCTTGTGGGAGACTGAGGAGAGGACCCACAGGCCTGCCCACCCAGCTGGCCACAGGTCCTAGGCATTCAAGAGCCAACTGCCATGTTAGGATGCGTTAGGACAGAGGTTCGCAACCTGGGGGTCGAATGACCCTTTCACAGGGGTTGCCCGATTCATTACAGTAGCAAATTTACAGTGATGAAGTAGAAACAAAAATAATGTTATGGTTGGGGGGTCACCACAACATGAGGAACTGTATTCAAGGGTGGTGGCATGAGGCAGGTTGAGAACCACTGCGTGAGGAGGTCCCGACCCTGGAAAAGGTCACCGTGCCTGGTAGAGGATCAGCGAGAGAGGGCACCCCTCGCCGAGATGGACTGACACCCTGGCATCGTGAGGCAGTATTGAGATCAGGCAGCATCGTGCTCTACAGTGGGTTGTACACAGGTTGCATGTACGTTACACAGGTTACATGCATGATATACGTAGGGTCACTCTGGATTGGAGTTCACTCCATGGCCTCCAACAATGAAGTTGACAATATGAAAACTTCTTTAAAAGCTGCCCTGTAAGGGTGGGTCCTTAAGCATGTCTCCAGGCACACCTCTTGGGGAGGGGTGGGGGGTGGCTTTCGTCTGAAAAGGCCCGTGCTCTGGGTTTGCGGGGAACTGCCCGATTGCTCACCGTGTTCATACTTCACAGCGGAGAACGGGCCAATGGACGTCATCCCTGCCCCTCGGCCAACAGTCCTTCCCTCTGACGATCCTCAGAAGCCCCACACCTGCAGCCAAACATGAGTTATTGTTTCCTCGGCTTGCCTGGCACCGTCTTTCGTGGCCGTCCCACGACTCATCAGTGCAAACTGCACACACGCCCGCAACGACAGCTGGACTTGTTCAGACGAATTGAGGGGCTTCTCTCTGAACTCCTGGCCTTGCCAGGCTCGCTCTTCATGCGGCTCCGGAGTCCACGTGCCATGAGTAGTCCTGGGGGCGGGGAATATTCCGGTCTCCTTTCATCTCAAATTCCCCTATGACTGTTTGGGAGACCCTGGTACTCTCAGGCCCCAAGACTTCCAACAGAGCTGCGAAGAGGCTTATCTGATGATGTGGGCGGGGACCTGGGCAGCTTTCAAAACCACCAGCGTCTCTGAGGGAGAAAGAGGGGCTTCTGACTGCTGTAAAAAGTTGTGGTCTTGGAAACTCACAGGGGCAGGTCTACTCCGTCCCAGCGGGTCACTATGAGCCGGCATTGACTCGTTGGCAGTGAGTTTGGTTTGGTTGGTTTTTAGAAGACAACCAAAGTTGTGATTGTTGTTGTGCGGTGCCCCCAAGTCAGCGCCAGCTCTCAGCAGCCCTCTCAACAGCAGGGTGAAGCCCTGCCAGGCCCGGTGCCACCCTCACAGCGATTAGGTTTGAACCCAGGGCTGCCGCCACCCTGTCCTTCCTTCCGCCTCTTGCCAGGTGCTCCCTCTTTTTCACTGGCCTGGCACGTCACCAATTATGACACCCTTTTCTAGAGCCTGGTCTCCCCTGATCACCCATCCAAAATAGGTGAGCCTCGCTCCTCGGGAACCCTGGTACATCTTCCGTGGCAGACTCGCTTGGTTTTCCAGCAGTCCGTAACCCAGGCGAGCTCCTTCGTCAGCACTGCCATTCGGCTGCACCAAGTCTTCCTTAGTCTTCCTTGCTTGCGAGGCGACGGAAGGTACCGTGGCTACGCTGGGTCAGGTCCTTAATCCTTAGCATGACACCTTTGTTCTTCAACCCTTTCACTCAGAGGTCCCCAAAACTTAGGTGACTTTCTACCCCCTTTTCAGAAAAAAAAAAAAGACTCGGCAGCCTCTCCCCAGCAGGGAAAACCTTCTGTGCCGTAGACCCATGCGGTGGTTAAATGCTGTGGGGTCTGCTGGTGCACACTACTTTAAGTAGATGCTACGCAGATATGCCCAGTGCAAGCCGTCATTTCAGTCCTTGATCGCTGCCTCCGAGAGTGTTGAGTGTGTATCCAAGAAAAATTCCACCTTTGGCAACATCAGTCTTGTCTCTGTGTAGCATGGCACTGTCTATTGGCCAGCTGTGACGGTTTTGTGTTCATTTCATGGAGATGGAACCCAGACCGGAGGCTGCGCTCTGATTTTTATTGGCTCCCAGAAAGCCCGAGCCTTCCTCCCATCCTGGTGCTGCTTTCTACGTCCCGCTGTCCAGCTTCTCTGATTACTTGCTCAGCCAACAGACCATGGACGGTGAGAGGATGCAATCCTGACATCATCCTTCTTGATTCGAAAGGACAGGACCAGAGAGGGTCTGTACATCAGGGCGGCAAACGGCTGCCCAAGCATTCTTCTGTGATGGCTTCTGAGAACATCAGTTCTCCCTCTCCCTTCGTGTATGTGTGTGTGTGTACACAGATGCATTCACTACCAACAAGTCAATTCTCACTTGTAATGACCCAACAGGACAGGGTAGAACTGCCCCCAGAAGGTTTCCGAGATTGTACATCTTCAGGGAAGCTGACTGTCACATCTTTCTCCCATGACATACCTGGTAGATTTGAAAGGCCTACCCTTGAGGAGAAAGATGTGGGAATCGGCTTCCCTAAAGATCTAACAACCTTGCCCCCCTGGGGTTAGTCCTAGCCCCTAGGGTTGCTGTGCACGGACGCGATGGCAGTGTGTGTACATGTAATGTGCATGGGAGCACCTGGAGTCGCAAGGAGAATGGAATTAACACAGGATGTAATTCCTCCACAAACTTTCGAAGCCCCTTAGTACACATGGGTATGTGTGCACACACCAGCTGACTTGAAATGTGAGTAAGAGTTACGACCCTGCCAAGTGTCTATGTAAATAACCACGGAAACAGCTCCCAAGAACTTTTCAGCCCACTCAGTAACGGGAACAACTACCCCTTATTCAAAAAATATATAGATGGCTCAGAGAAGTGTGTAGACCAGTGTGCACACCCCTTTTCACAGGGGCTGCCCAATTCATCACAGGAGCAAAATGACAGTGATGAGGAAGCAACAAAAATAATTTTATGGTTGGGGGGTTCACCACAACATGAGAAACTGTATTAAAGGGTCGTGGCATAAAGAAGGTTGAGAACCACTGGTGTAGACCATCCGGGCTGCAGTGGCCACTGGAGGAAGGACAGGGACTCGGACACAGGGCTTCTGCCCAGACTCCACTTTCAATGGCCCTTGTTTCCAGGGACCAAGAGCCACACAGAACAGCAGCCAGAATGTTTTTGCCTTGCACGTTCATTCCCACAGGGGAGATGAGCATCCAGTGTGTGGGGCAGCCTGGGAGGAGCCCTGTGGGCACAGCCGGGGTTCAGCTCCCACCTTCCCCTGAGCATGCTGGGAAAGCTGAAGGAGCCGCTGTAAGCGCAGGTGGCCTCTTCCCAGCCACGGACTTATCTGCTCAAACATACTTGAACACCGTCCTCTTGATCTTCGCCTTCACTTCCCGTCGGCTTGTTGAGGAATCCAAGGGGAATTCCAGAGAAGGAGCAGAACTGAACTGGAGCACTCCCACTCTGACCTGCGGGGGAGAGAGTAGGCCAGAGACTGGGGTCAAGTCCTGTGTTCCCTGAGAGGGGTCAAGGGACAAGAGGTTAACAACCCTGCCTCCTGTTTCAAATACCAGGGCTGGGGTTATCTCCCATCTCCTAAAAGAAGGAGTGAAAGTGCAGAAGAATCTAGAAGGAAATAGCTGAATCTGCCCGTGTCTGACTGACAACTCCTAATTCACTCCGCAACCCAGTCAGCCAGCCATCCAGCCAACCAACCAACCAACTAGCCAAACCAACCAACCCACAACCAACCAACCAGCCAGCCAGCCAACCAACCAACCAACCAGCCAGCCAATCAACGAACTAGCCAAACCAACCCACAACTAGCCAGCCAGCCAACCAACCATCCAACCAACCAACCAGCCAGCCAGCCAATCAACGAACTAGCCAAACCAACCAATCAACCCACAACTAGCCAGCCAGCCAACCAACCAGCCAGCCAACCAACTAGCCAAACCAACCAACCCACAACCAACCAGCCAATCAGTTACTGTCTGATTCTAACTCATGACAACCGCATGTGCGTAGATAACTGCTCTTCACGGGGCTCTGATGGCTGTGACTTTTCACAAGCACACTGCCAGTTCTTACTTCCCGGGCACCTCTGGGTAGGTTCAAATGATCAACCTTTCGGTTAGCAGGGGGTGCCCCTAAAGGAAGGTGAGCATGGTGGCACCTTTCTCAGCTGGGCTGCAAGCGCAAGGGTAGGCTCTCTGTAGCTGGTTACCAGCTGTCTCCTGGGCACACTGGGTCCACACAGTCAGTACTCACAGGACTGCTGGGAAAACAAATTTAAATGAAGATGGAGACCTTGCCCAAGGCCACCGAGCTAGAGAAAGATCAAATCTGAACCAGAGGTTGATTGGAGGTCACACAGCACCCTACACAGAGACAAACCACACTGGAGATAAAGGAATCTCCGTAACAAGGGAGCAGATGCCCCATATGATGCCAACCAGCCTTGGGCATCCTCACTGAAGAGGATGCCCTGAAGGGAACACCAAGGCTGCATAAAACCAGAGCGTGGGACATGAAGAAAGCCATTTCTTGGATCCTTGAAGACCCCAGTGCACAGGTTCCGAAACTTATTGGGTCTAATGCCCTATCAGAAAAAAAAAATTTACTCAGCACCCATCAGCAATTAAAAACGTTTGTACTATAGCCCAGAATCCAGGATATAGTATAGATACCTGCTTTTTCAGTGCCTCTGGATTGGACCCCAACTGTCATAGTGGTTACACATTGGGCTGCTAACCACAAGGTCGGCAGGTCGAAACCGCCAGCTACTTCACGGGAGAAAGATGCAGCTTTCTACTCCATAAAGAGTTAAAGTCTCGGAATCCCACAGGAGCAGTTCTACCCTGTCCTAGAGCGTTGCTGAGTCAGCATTGACTTGATGCCGATGCCACCCGCCTCCCCGCCCCGCTTCCCATCAAGGGCAGTCTCTCCCATTTCTGGCATCTCTGCACTAGTGTCTCTCAACGCCACACTCACTGCCGCAGAGTTGATTCTGATTCATGGTGGCCCCACAGGACTGCGAGATCTGCCCCTGTGAGTTTCAGAGACTGTAACTCTCCACAGGAGGGAAGAGCCCCGTATCATTCTCCCACAGAGCGGCTGGCGGTTTCAAACTGCTGATCTTGCAGTTAGTAGCCCCGCCCATCACCACTAACCTACCAGGGCTCAAAGGAACAACGACAACAACTCCATACACCCAACTCACTGTCCTGGAGTCGATTCCAGCTCACAGCAACCTTTTCTGCAGGATCACACCCGGGAGGTTCCAAGACTGGAGGTCATTATGACCATAGAAAGCCGCCTATTTCTCCTTCGGAGCAGTTGGTGGGTTTGAACTGCTGCTCTTGCCGTTAGCAGCCCACACCACCAGTACGGCTCCTCATGTCCAAGCAGAGGTGGCTGTCAACACTTAGGTTTCATTTCAAGAGCTCAAGCCCTGACCCTCAACGGTGGCTCTCAAAAGCCTCTGGGAAAATGCCATCCCAGGAACTATTCCATCATTGGACCCCAAATCCCACAAAGATCTCAAATGGGTCACCTGGGTCTCGTGGAAACAAGGTCTTAAATGACCCGGCTGCTGTCACTTCCTTCAAGACTGCGGTGGGGAGGCGGCACTGAGCTCTGCGCCTAGCCAGGGGGCTTCAGCCTTCCCCACCCCACGAAGGAGGTTCTCATGAGAAGCTGCCGGCTATTTGAAGGAGAAAGCCACTTAAGTCTCAGGTGGGCACGTGGGGCAGGTGAACACTGATTGACAGCGTGGCAGACAAGCTCAGGCAGAAGTTTCTAAGAGTGCCTTTCAAGGCGTCCCTTGAATTTCATGAGTGATAACGGTAAGATGGTTGCATCAGTGCAGGATGTTGGGGTAAAAATAAAGGATAAATTACAGATGCATTCAGGACCCAAATGTGAAAGAAGAGCATCAAAGTTATAAAAAGCCCTGTGCGATGTCGAACTGGAAAAGCTGCAGCCAGGGCTGAACATTTGGAAGCCATGGGAGTGATGACTGACAACATCAGACAAACAACTTCTGCATGACAGACTTATCTTAACACGAGAAAACAGTTAACACGGAAGTGGAAAAACTATTTGCAACTCTTCTCCGAGACAAAGGGCTCCTTCCCAAGTATCTCAAAAGAGCTTCCAGAAATCTATACATGAAATTATCCAAGAGAAGCATGAGCCAAGGATCTACCCTGGGATCGCGGAGGAGCCAATACAAACGGCTCGTGGGCCTGCAGAGGGATGCTTGCCCTCAGGACACTTGGGCACTATTTTCCCACACCCGTTTAGCAAAAAGCCAAACAGAAGGGTTTGTATGGCTGTGGATGAACCAGCAATCAGCAAACACTGCTGATAGGAACATGAATTGGTGCAACGTCCACAAAGGCCGACTGGCCACTATTCATCAACCATCACAGGTAACAGCAAACCCCCAGCTTTCTTTCCACACCTGTGAAATGGCCTGTTGATACTGATTCATCACAGAACTGTCACAATAGAGAATGTCCATCAATAGGTGGTGACTTCCTATCAAAGCCTCCGTAACGCCTTACAATGGGACTTCGCTCAGTGATTTTAAAACAAAACAACATATGCCTATGGACCAATAGAGAAAGATTTCCGAGATACGATGGCCTGAGACAAACCAAGAAATGAACGAGCCTGTGCAGGATGCCGCCCTTGGATGTCAGGGCCCCTGGCAATGGTGAAGGGCAGGGCTGCTGAAGAAGGGAGCCCGTGGGGCTGTTCTCCTCGGCCCTCCAGGGTCACTCAGAGGTCGAATCCAACTTGACGGCAATGGGTGGGCACCCTCAGCATTCAAGGTAGGGAACGAAGTCACATTTGCTCATAGTTGCCCGTCACTATTGTGGGAGGAGATTTGATTCGAGAAAGCCGGTAGCAGGATTGACCAATGGAACCTGAGTGGGTGCGAGGGGAGAGTTTCCTGTAGGCCTTCAAGGGAGCGTGTGAGGGACTCACTCAGTTACAAAGAAAACCGAACCGAGGCAGCTCCCCGGGACCGGCGGCTGGTGCATTCACCCCGTTACACAGGAAGGATGCCACTTCAAAAGGCGGCCAGATGGAAGCAGCTTAAGCCGGCAGTTGAGGAGTTTACTGTAATTGGTAGTTTGGGAGAATAAGCAGCTGCCTTTCATCTGCTTCAGTTTACTGTTGCCTCAGCAGGCGGCCTGCCCAGCTTCCCGGCACTGTAGCCACTCGGTGACATCCATTCCATTGTCCCCAGGAAGTGAGCGTCTCAACCTGTATGTCGAGGAGGACTTCAAACACCTGAGAAGGCACCTGCACAGCAGAGCACCCGTGTCCAAAAAAAGGCCTTTAATTCATAGAAACAGGCAGATCTCCTTTTACCGTGCTTCTAAGAGAGCGCTTAAAAATAAAAATTAAAGGGCTCTGGCAATCCCTTGGGCTAACCGAGACCACCAGCACCGTTTCTCCAGGTGTGCTCTCGGGTGTGACCTTTTGATCATTCTCACCACAGTCCACACTTTCTCATAATGCTACGTTTGATGCCTTTAACAGACCTCGAACTCAAACACCGCTAAGTGCCCTTGGGCTGATTCGGGCTCACAGCAACCCAACCAGGGCCGAGCACGACTGCTTCTGGGGATTTCGAGATTGGAAATCCTTCCAGGAGCTGAGGGCCTGATCACTGCCCCCTGTGGGGCGGCTGCTGGGTTCTAAGGGCTCCCTTTATGGTTAGCTGCCCAATGCTTACCCCACCCACCTCACCCAAGGTCCCTGAACAGCCTATCCAAACAGCCCCGGTCATCAAGTCCGGTCTGACTCACAGCGACTCCCTACTGGGTTTCTGAGACCGTCTCTATGGGAGCAGGCTGCTTCATCCAGATCCCTGGGCCTGGCTGGTGAGTTTGAACGGCCGACGGAAGGTTAGCAGCCAACACTTAACCCACAGTGCCACCAGGCCTCCTCTGACGGATGACAGTGGGGAGGAAGGGTAACGTTTCCCTGCGACTCGCTTCACGGGGACAGTCACTGTGCCACCGTGGTCTGGAATCCCCCGGGGTATGCCTGTACTTACTTGAAAGTGCCCTTCCTCAAGGTCATGTTATAGAAAGTCACACAAGGGACGAGGACAAGTCAGACCGCCTGTGATGCGGACTTGAACCACCACACACAGCAGCAGAAGCACAGCCATCTGAACCCACATCGGCGCACATCTGAATTCGCCGTCACAGGAGCAAACGCCCTCCCGAAGCTCACCCACCGACAAGCAAGCCCGCCGGGGAGGCTGGAGATCGGGGCCCGCACTGGCTCAAACACGGAGAACAATCAGAGTTAACTCTGACTCGCAGGGACGCCGCGTGTGCCCGTGTCAAACTGTGTTTACTTCCCAAAACAGATCACCAAGCCTTTCTTCCGAGGTGCCTCTGGGTAGACCTGAATGTCCCGCCCATCTCGGTTAGGTTAGCGCCCTAGCCGTTTGGTTAGTGCCCGAGTTCCTTATCCATGTGAACCACCCGAGGGCTCCTCACTCAAATAAGCATCCCATTCTGCGTGTCGTCACTTACTGCGAGACGGTTCACCCACCCGACCCTACCGCACCCCGTCCCAAGTTAAGCCCAGAGCTAACGAGTCCCCAGTAAGCACCCAGGATTGTAGTTCTGCCCTGTTAATAAGACAGCTACCACTTGTTTGACAGCTTGTCACACTGGGGTAGCCTGTGTGCGGCTGTGATGCTGAACGCTGTCACAGGTACTTCAACTGCCAGCAGGGTCCCCCAACAGGAACTGGTTTCAGCAGTTTCCAGCCGAAGGGCAGACGACAAAGAAGGAATCGACTGTCCACTTCTGAGGAACCCATCCCTGAAGACTATGGCGAGCCCCTGCTGGACAAGGTCGCTTTCAAGTGTCGGCAAATAAGGAGGCCGCTTTGAGGATGAAGGTGTGCCAGACCCCCTCACATGCATGTGAACGTCGGACTCAAAGAGAGGAAGGCTAAAGAAAGACTGACGTGTTTTAACCATGGTATTGACAAAGGATACGGAACGTACCGTGGACCACCAAAGCCACAAACAGATGGGTCTTGGAAGCAATGTAGCCAGAAGGCTCCACAGAGGCGAGGATGGTGAGACTTCATCTCACGGATGTGTTGTCAGGAGAGACCAGTCCGTGGAGAGACACCTTACTGGGTAGACGCGCAGCGAGCAAGTGGAAGGCCCCTGGTGAGCGGGACTGGTGCAGTGGCTGCAGCCACAGGCTCAAACGTGAGCGAGAGGTGGAGGCCAGGCTGTGTCTCGTTCTAGGTCCACAGAGCGGGTGAGCTGGATGGGCTGAACAGTACCTAACAGGACAGGGCCAGGCTGCTTCTCCTCTCACCTGACAATGATCAGCAGGCTCCCTCGGGGCACATCTCCAGGCCTCCAGTGGCCCAGGCTCCCTGTCCCGAGCACTGGCTAGTTTCCCAATCCCTTGCCCAAAAGCCAGCTCCTGTAACTTAGTGCTACAGTCTAGATGGGGTCCTGATGCTGAGACAAAGTTGCCTGGGCTCTGGAGACCTCGGGGCTGTGACTGGGGCTGCTCCAACAGTCTTGATCCCCTGTGCTGGCTTGACCTCACAGATGGGACTTCTGGTCCGCCCAGGCCTGCCCTGATGGGTGTCTCCCTTTCAGTGGTTTTCTTCAGCCATCTGGCTGGCTGGGAACCAGGCAGCATTTCATCTGTTGTATACAGGGTCCTTCTGACTCAGACCAGACTCGACAGTACCCAACAACGTGCTTGTGGGCCACCCTTATTTGTTCTCTCTCCCAAAGTACATGCATTTTGGGGGGAAGGGGGATGTGGCTCTAATTAAAAGCCACGCTTGCTCCTCACTCTGGAGGTTGAATCGCTAGGATTAACCCAGGAATGTCATCTCGGAAAACCACTTCCTTCCTCGGTCTCTCTAGGAGGGAGGCTCTAATTCAACTAATGATGGCTTTCTAGACCAAAGGCCCCTTCTTCATTTTGTTTTTTTAATCTGACTTCGGAGTAGGTAATAATCGACAAGGGTTAAAAATCCAAAAAGTACTAATATGTCCATTCTGTCGTCGCTTCTCCCCCTGCACTTGGGGCCCCTCTGCCCTGACTCTGGGAAATCACCATCTCCAGCCTCCAAAACAAGCTGCCAGAGTTTCTTGAAGCAACTGTGAGGCAAAAGCACATCCAGGTTCCTATTCACGCCTTTCTCCTTCACCTAGTAAGGAAGATGCTGAGTAGTTACATAATCTGCTGTCAATTTGAGACTTAGGGGTTACGGGGTGGAGTTTAGCCTGTCAATCAGGTCGCAGCTTGGTGACCTCCTTTGGAGGCGCTAAGAAGATAAATAGCTCGCTGGAGGCAGGACACATGCTCACTCCCCGGGAGACATTGCAGCTGACAAGACACATGGAGCTGCACTAGGGCCCTGGAGCTGAAGGAGCCACGTGGAAACCCCTGCCAATGCTGAGATGCTTACAATGCCCCGGGATCCACAAGACATTCCACCCACTGGGCTGTGGTCTTCCTGCATTTGGCGTCATTGCATGGCTGCGTGAGTCTAAAGAGGAGTTCATGGACTAGTATAGACGTATGGGGTAATATTGGACTTATGGACGTGATCTGGAATGTATCGACTAGTATTGGACTTATGGGCTTCACCTGGACTGGGCTAGGATGTTTTCTTAATGTACAATGACTCTTTGATATAAAGCTCTTTCTTACACACGAGTGCCCATGAATTTGCTTCTCTAGTCAACCCGGACTAACACACACGCCAAGTATACTTCTTCAGCGTTGTTTGTTCTGGAGAACTTCTGAGAAGTTCTGAAAGAGCTTCCTCCTCCACTTTCTGCAGCTGCCCACTGTCCCCGTCAACACACGCACACCTTTAACCTGTGTCCCTTGGGACAGGAGGATGAGAAATATTCTAGGTCAAGCCATGCCGTGTGACTGACTGGTATGGGTGCTGTTTGGTGTCTGCAAGAGTTTCTGCAGCATCGATTGCTAGAAATGGAATTCATGGATCACAGGGTCCCAAGCCGTTGTGAGTTCCTGTGTTTTCAGTCCTTATGTTACTTATGTAATCGTCTCTTGTGGCTCGGATGAAAAGGTAGTACGTTGGTTTCCCGTGCGATGCTGATGCACATTTGCTGCGTGCCATTAGTTGTGATTCCCGCCAATGTAACAGCCCTTCCCCCTTCCCCCTGGGGAGTCCCCATCTCCAGTCGTCCTTCCTGCCTTTTGAGCTTTGTTTTTTGGGGGAAATGCTGCCCTTTGGGTCTTGTACAGGGCCAGTGTTCTAAAGAGCATCTTCCTCAAAGGGAATTATTTACTTCGTAGGCCTGTGTATTGTTAGGCTGGAGCCTTGGTGGTAGCGTAGTTATGCGTGCTGTTGCGGGCCTCAGTCAGCGGTTCAACACCACCAGCCACTCCTCCGGAGAAAGAGGAGGCTTTCGATTCCCACGAAGAGTTACTGTCTCAGGGGCAGCTCTAGCCTGTCCATGGGGTCACTATGATTCAGCATTGACTCTATGGAAGTGAGTTCGGTTTGGGATGATTTGGCTGAACGGCAATTCCCTGCGTCCCAAGCCTTCGCAATATCAATAGCATGGTTGGAGGCGGTACAGTCTGTCCTGACGGCCACGTGTGCGACCAGCCCTCCCTAGAGACCTGTCTAGGGACCAGGTCATCGGATTTTGAGCTTTTGCTATTTGAAGAAGTATAAATGATGGGCCGGCTGGAGATCCAAGCCTGCATTGAATGGGGCCGGTACCTATTCATCTAGCTAAGGGCCAGCTTTGTTTCGTTGGCAGCAAACCATCTGTGTTAGCTGCCCATCATCCTACTGGGTGCCTCTGCATGCCAGCTCTACCGAACACAGCTGGTATTCCAGAAGTGCTATCTGGAGCCGGGGAAAACAAGGAGAAATAGAGATGCTGGTGAGATTCATTCAGGCCATAGAGATGCCTTCCAAAGGCCCCAGGGTGGATGAAGCCAAAAATTAGCACTTGGCTACTAACTAAAAGGTTGGTGGTTCAGATCCACCCAGCGTGCTGTGAAGAAAGGCCTGGTGATTGCCTTCTGAAAGGTCACAGCCGTCGGAAAGCCCACGGAGCACTGGTCTCCTTGGAAACACGTGCAGCTGCCTGGAGTCAGAGTCCACGGGGCGGCAGCAGGTTTGGGTTCTGTTCTGTTTTCCAAATCTCTTCACGATTTATTTTGTTTAGGTTTGGGTCCTTTGCGCTTCAGCTCCTTCCAAGTGGGTTGGGTTTGGTGTTCTGAGGCAGCTGACGTTCTTGTCTGCTCAGCAGTTTCCCTTTGTTATTTTCCCATAAACACAACACCCCTTTCAGGGAAATTGAATCCACGTGTTCTCCTTCCCTTCCACTGCTAAGTGAGTAAGTCTGGCCGGGGAATCTCTTCCTCCAGGCTGCTGTGATTGGTCTAGGGACTCTCATGTGACCTCAGCTGGGCCAATCAGAAGCTTCCCGGAGACTACTGACAGATCTATGGAGAATTAAGTCAAGCTCTCGATAGGGGTCACTAGCTGGAGAGACCACTTTGCTGCGTCCGGGGAAGCGGCCTGGAAGGAAGCAACCTGAGAGGAGAGAGCAGGAAGCCTGACGGCCTCCCCGGGGCCCTTGTAGGCCCTCTACCAGCACCAGGATTCACACAGGCCAGTGAGTTCTCTCTGCCACAATAACGGGCTCTCTGCCACTTGCCACCAAAGAGGCCCCTGATAGCGACCCACGGGACTTGCACTCACCCGCTCGGGGCTGATGTCCAGAGTGTCACACACCGTGAGGGCAAACTGCTTGGATCTCTCGAAGCTCCTTTTCCCGACGCTGTGAGAACCATCCAGCAGGAAGAGGGCATCCACTTGGGCAGAGCACTGCATCACTGGGGAGCAAGGGGACAGACAGTCACATCAGCAAAGCACAGCCAAGGCAGCCAGGACCTTGGGATGGGTGGGGCGGCAGCTCCTCTTGACACCCCAGGGAGATGATTATGGAAAGGTCAGCCAGAGCCAGCCCCTCTGAGGCACACAGCCACCACGGGACCTGGTGCACAGGGCCCACATACAAATCTTTGCAGTAACAGACCCAGTTCGATGACACTGAGCTTGACGAGAGGAAGGGTCTCCGAGATGTCACCCAGGGGGCTACAGTAGCAAGGCTAACAGGCAGCACCTACGTGCACATCACAGTTTAGACACACACTGAATTCTCACAACCACTCTAGGAGATAGGTTACTAATCTTGTGTCCCGTCAGCAGGTAGCCAAAGTCTTTTACAAGGCAATTCAGTCACTTTCTGAAGGTACCGGGTACCGGTAAGTGGGCGCGCGGGAATCACTCCCAGACCCTCTGGCTGCCGAGTTCACGCTCCCTCCCCCACCTCACTGTGAGTGAGTCTGAAGGGGTGAGGTGGGGGGTAGGGGGCAGAGAAGGCCCCACTGAGAAGGCACCAGGGCACACCGGACCTGAGGAAAGATGAGGGTGATGAAGGGCTTCTGGGAATGGCCTGCAGGGGGCACTACTGACCAGAGTGAAGGAGGAGGGAATCTGACGGGCAATGACCCTGTGGGGGGGGTAGAAGGTGGTCCTGTAACGGACTTGGATGCACCGCCAGAGGTCGGGCGCCGGGAGGTACTGAGGGCTCTCACCCAGGAGAGGGACTCGACTGGGACCACTAGGGGACGTGGCATCGGCCCCGGTGAAAGGAGATGGAAGTGGGGCGAAGGGCCTGGAGGCACAGCTTGCCTTCGGTCTGTCACACAGCAGTGGGAGCGGGTGCTGGAAGGACTCAGTAAAACACGGCCTTACATTTGATGGCAGCCGAAATCTTCCCAGCGGTCTCCCTGCTTACATGGACTTCCTGGAGCAGGTGGGATGGGGGCACTAGGAGAGAAAACATCAGAGGGGTCATTGCAAGGCTGGGCAGGCAGGGGTGTTGTTCTCCACCTTGTATGAGGGGTAAGAGGATGGAGAGAGGGTCATGGAGGAGTTTAAAGCCATTTGTATCTCCCAAATTAAGAGCGTTTGCATAAAAGACTACCCCACCTCCATCCACACCAAACCAAACCCACTCTCATCAAGTCCTAGTGATCCTCCAGGGCAGGGCAGAACTGCCCCTGTGGATTTCCGAGGCTGTAACTCTTTACAGGAGTAGAAAGCCTTGTCATTCTCCTGTGGAGTGGCTGGTGGTTTAGAACTGCAGACCTGGCAGTTGCACCACCAGGCTCTCGGGGTGATGACAGGGGACACGAAAAGACATCTGACTCTAGAGCAACGGATCTCAACCTGGGGGTCGAATGACCCTTTCACAGGGCTCAGCTAAGACCATCAGAAAACACTGATTTCCGATCGTCTTAGGAACCAAGACATAGCTCCTCTATCAGTCTCCAGGAGAGTCTGCACACATGCAGATACACTCACATACAAGTACCAGGCATGAAGACTGTGACCCATGCTATACCATGCTTCAAGACAAAATGCCGTGTTAACAAACCCAGGGACAAGGGAACAACAAGTGATCCAAATCGGTGG